TGTGTTTCTCACCGTTATATTTGTGTATAGGAAATTCCAGAGGAGGAATCTCTAAATGTAACAGCTGATTACTCGGAAAGCGAAGAGTTAATTGATCAAACGATTTTGGTACATAAGCAATTTCTTTTTGTATGTAAAACATCTATGAAGCAGAATTCTTGAATTTCTCTGAGTATGTTTTTTTTCTTTTGCTTTCTGCTAGGTTCAAAACGTAGAAAATGAAGCACACTTCTATGATTTTCATATAGTTTACAGTGCATCTTATGGGGTTCCTGTGCTATATTTTCGCGGATACTGCAGCAGTATGTCACAGTTAACCTGTATATTTTGTAATTTGCTCCTTTGTTTGGTTTAGCAATTCATCTTTGTTGTCACTTAGGTGGAGAACCTCTTTCTTTGGATGTCGTAATAAAAGATCTGCCCTCGTGCTCTGTTAGTCTTTTGGTGGAATCTAAGTGGACATTTATAACACAGGAGGTATCTGAAACAACCAAATACTACAATGTCCGTTTATAGGTATATCTTGTGGTTGTTTGGTATTTATTCAATCTCTATGCAACAATCAATGGCAGGAGCATCCGTATTTAAACAGGCCATGGTTCAAGCTACATCCATGTGAGACTGAGGAATGGATCAGGCTGCTTTCCCAAAGCAGCACCTCTGCTGGATGTAAGATGCCAGTTGAGTTGTACTTGGTGTCATGGTTCTCTGTTGTCGGGCAGGTGGTTGGTCTTAGGATCCCTCTTGAGATGCTGGATCAGCCATTTTCTGTATAGGATGAGTCAAGGGCGTTAAACCCTCAGGAACAACTTGTTATGGAACACATTTCTGAATGAATTGTCTATGATATCTTTTGACATGTTCTTGAATCCTCACTGAAAAAAAAGGAAACATTTGCATTGAATAAAGAAGCTGATGGAAGGCTGATTGGTTTCAGGTCTTATATTCTGAGTAGGAATCTTCTCCCTTATTGATATCAGAACTAAGTACAACATGTAGGTGTTTATAAAAGAGTGCCACACCCACTTCTCTCAGTACAAGATACGAGAATCAGCTATCTAATTCAGTAGATGCACTAACAAACTTTTTCTGAAACAAAATCTAACATGTAATAGTTGTGAGTCGGTTTTTTGTTGGGGTCAAATTCCATAACTGCATTTGTTTCTAGCGAGAAAATTTACAGCTGACTTAGTCAACACAACGGTCTGATATATTGACTTGATTATGTTGCCGTATTGGAACCGGACTGACTTCAATGTTTGCCGTATTACTACAGGTGTATGGGATCTGAAGACCACATTTGTTTATTAGTCTCTGTCATTCTGACCCTAGACCACTTCTTGATTTCTTTGTTAAAATATAGATCACTTATCTCCCCTGGAATCTTAATACCTGAAGATATTTAACTAG